GTAACAATGGCTTCTCAACGCTGTAATAATTTCTTGTTGTGTTAGATAAGGAGTAGACAGCCTATGAACTTCTACATATTGTTTGAATACATCCATCACCTCATCATTCTTCACCATTAGCTGTGCAGTCTTGAGCTGATGGGACTTACAATCCAACAACATCTGGAAGGCTCAGGATGCCCACTTCTGGCCTAAACTGTGTCATCTCTGTATTCAACAGTGAGAGTATGGCTTTAATGGAAGTAGTAATGTCTACTAGAAATTCAGGAATTCATTATGAATCCAGATTCCTGAAACTCCATGAGTGAGCCATCATATTAGGATGGCAATAATGAGAACTTATCTCTCTGTGCAAATAATTGTCTCCACAGCACATAGGAAAAATAGGGAGCAATATTATACTTATATTATCAAGGTGAGAGTTAATTTTAGATGCTAAAGGTCAACAGAAGCTTTATGTATTGTATTGGAGAGTTATGAACCCTTAGTAGAAAAAAGTCCTAATGTCTGACAATGTACAGAAAAGATTTACAAAGTAACAATCTTACAAGGTACAACCCATGCAGAGATACTTGAAGATAGACACTGTGCATTAGGTATGTTACCCTTAACTGCCTCTAATCAAAATTTGAAGGGCTGGATATTTGTTTCAAAGGGAAAACAGACATAGTGGGTAGATGTAATAATAACATAACACAAACCTGTTAGAATGGCGAGAACCAGTGGAACACAGGCGTCTATGGTTACAAACTCTATATAAATTATAGGGGAAGGCATAGTGGAGATTATGTTTTCCTGTATACTGGGGCAGGTATTGTTTCAAACAAGGTAGAAACTTTTAAAAGAAGTTGCTTCCATGACAGAATTATTGAGGGTGAAAATACTAGGCCTGAATAGTATTTTAGTGCTAATGACAAACTATAGTCCTCCATGGTCACATGTTCAAGGTGATATTGAACTGGAAAATTAAATCAGGAAGATATCCAAAAGAGAGGATATTGAAATAAAAATCTTTCAATCACAAAGACATTCCAAATAACAACCCCCTAGAACCTCACTAGCTCACTAGAACCAGCCAGAGGGGAGGCAACTGAATCCAAGAGGCACTACAATGGTGCCTTGACTTATGAACTTAATCTGTATTGGAACGGTGGCCCTAAGTCAAAACGTTCATAAATCAAAGCACCATTTCCCATTGGAATGCATTGAAAACCGATTAATCTGTTCCGGCCGAAGAAAATTTTTTTAAAATAAATAAAAATAAAAGACTGCAAGTCCCATGCTGGGACTGCAAAACAAAAACAAAAACCAAACAAATCCAAAAATAAACATTGGAGCAAGTCCCACGATGGGACTGCAAAAAATAAAATAAAAATAAAAATAAAAAAACAAATCACAGAAACATACCCCCCATCCCAAACCTACCCTCAAAAACCTACCCAGAACAACTTTTTTAAAAGAAAAAAGCAGCACCTTACCGGTCCGAAGCCTTCCAGGGGTCCCCCGCCGCTGTCAATTGCCGCCTTCAGAGGACTCCCAGGGCTTCCCCGCCCAGTCTACCTCCCAGAAAAACCTGAAGGCGGCGATCGGTGGTGGCGGGGGACCCCTGGGAGGCCTCCAAAGGCAGTGATGGCGGTGGCGGCAGAAGTGTGGGAGGCTGAGCCTCCCTTTCCCTAACTGTTGGGGCGAAAGAGCTACAAAGAAGCAGCCTCTTCGCCACCAATGGTTAGGTTTTTGAATTTCCCACCTTTTCTTGTTCGTAGATCAAAGCTCCGGCCGCAGGTCAAAGCAAAATTTTGCAGAAGGAGCTGTTCGTAAGTCAAAATGTTCATAGGTCAGGGCGTTCATAACTCAATGCACCACTGTACTTAGGACTTAATGTGAGATGTGAGTGTGCTTAAGCCAGCTGAAAACAGTCATCACATTTTAATGGTCAGTATTCTGTTGCATAGTTCTGCCAGTATAGTAGGGATGATGTCAGTGATAATACCAGATTGCCTCAAATTAAAGAGTCCCTGCTTTGGTTTCAGGTTGTGTATGGCTCATGATGAGATATGAAATGAATTTGCATGTAACTCAACATCAAAGCAGGATCGATTTAATTAGCAGTGATATCACACTTGCTGTGCTGGCATAGCTATACAACAAGATTTTGGTCAATTATAGGTAAGTAGAAAAGTGCCAAACAATTCTTAGACTCCTATTTGAGTTCAAAGCCCTCTGAAAGGAAAGAACTGATAAAAGGAAAGTCGAAAAGAGATGTTAAAACTGTCATATCTCTGCATGAGGTTGTTTGGAGGACTACTTGACATCACATTAAATAGAAGCTTAGCTAGATCCCATAGCACAGTCCAAGAAAAAAAATGTGAACTCCAAAAGGTCACTAGCATGACTTAGAAACACTGATGCGAGCTACAAGAGAAGGGAAATAGCTTCCCTTAAGAATCTGCAAGTCTTGTCTACATGAGGGGGATTTAAAGGGACACAAACATTCCCCCAAAATTGCGAACAAAAACTCAGGTATAAAAAAAGAGCTTCTAAGGAGAATCAAAACTAATAATAAAAGTGTAGGAACATGTCTTGGTCACATTATTGATTGTGTGTCTGTGCAACCTTGGCATCAAGTCAATTAGCCAAAAGAAGTTACATACACCTTTTTTGAACACCAATAGGATTCCATTCATGGAGTTATTAAATAAACTAGATTTAGCCTGAAAAAGAGTATACGATTTTAGAAGGGTGTGGGAATTTGGGAGTCTGAAAACATTATATATATCTGTTAGACGTCTCTCCCACAAAATACAGTAGCTGCCTATCCCACCCGCTCCTTATTTTCCATGTTGCTAAAAATGGTGACACCTAAGGAGTCAATGCTTTTTCCATCCTGACTCCTTTCCCGTTGGAACAGGCTTCCAACAGAGGTATGTCAGGCACCTTCCCTATAGGTTTTTAAGAAATTAGTAAAAACAGTATTATTTAAAAGGTAAAGGTTCCCCTTGACATTTAGTCCAGTCGTGTCCAACTCTAGGGTGTGGTGCTCATCCCCATTTCCAAGCCATAGAGCCAGCGTTTTGTCCGTAGACAATTTCCGTGGTCACGTGTCCGGCGCGACTAGACACGGAACACCGTTAACTTCCCACCGAGGTGGTACCTATTTATCTACTTGCATTTTTACATGCTTTTGAACTGCTAGGTTGGCAGGAGCTGGGACAAGAGATGGGAGCTCACTCCGTCGCATGGATTCTATCTTATGACTGCTGGTCTTCTGATCTTGCAGCACAGAGGCTTCTGTAATCCGCAGTGCCACCACTTTTATTAGTGCATTTCCTAATGGATTCTGTTTCAATTGGTTTAATTCAATGTAAACATCGGTTTTAGCTAGTGGCAAGGTTTTATCTATATTATGATATTAAACGGCATTTTGTGTCATTCATTATATGTGATTTAACATGCTGTAAACCATGCAGACAGTTTATGCATTATGGAGCGGTACATAAGTTGATATATTTTAAATAAATAGATAGATAAATATTTAAAAAGAGATTTTTGAGCTGTACTCATGACATGTAATATTTTAGAATAAAGGTGAGAATCCTGGACACTTCGTAGCTTCACAGGACCACTTGTATGGCTCCCAAAGACTTCCCTCCATTTTTCTTCTTGGGCTGGAAAAGTGATCCCAGACACTTAAGGTTGTCCACAACATGTTTTAAAGTTGGAGCAAACCCTTCAGAACAGGTGAATAATACACAACTCTACAGAATTCTCTGCATCACTTAGCTCATCCAGAAATAGTACTTCCATTTTATTTTGGCTGAGTCTCAGCTGATTGGTTCCCACTAGTCATTATTCTGCCCAATGACATTGCAACTACTACTACTAATAATAATAACTGCATGCTGTCAAATAAATTCTGACTTATGGTGAATCTTTCCAGGGTTTTCTAGGCAGAGAATATACAGAAGTGGTTTATCATTTTCTTCTCCTAGGGATAACCTAGGACTGCAGCTTGCCAATGAGTACACAGGCTAGCTCTTCTCCCAGGAAGGAGGCACAGCAAGGAACTGAACTCCTAACCTCTGGCTCCACAATCAGCTACTTAAACCACTGAGCTATCCAGTAATTAGCCTCTAATTATTCTCTATTTGTTACGTCACACCAACTTTGAGCAGTCTGGATGGCTGAAACACTGTTCAAATATGGAGATTACCCTGTTTCCCCAAAAATAAGACCTAACCTGAAAATAAGCCCTAGTATGATTTTTCAGGATGGTTGTAATACTGTATAAGCCCTACTCGAAAAATACTGTAAGCCCTAGTTAAGTGAAACACCTCCCTCCACCATTGTGCAGCAACCAGAAGATAACATGACGGTATTTGAATAAATGTAGATTGTTGTACATGGGAAAAAATAAAACATCCCATGAAAATAAGCCCTAATGCATTCTTTGGAGCAAAAATTAGTATAAGACCCTGTCTTATTTTCGGGGAAACATGGTAGCTGTAAGAATATAGCAAGGAGATATGTTTTCATTCAAACAATAATATTTAAAAACAATGTCTGGGGCGTTTTAAAAAAATAATTCTCATAAGCAAGTTAGATTCTGTTTATTCACCATAGTTGGAACTTTAATCCATAAACATTCTATCTCCACTAATCATATACTAGTCACACTGGTATCTTCTCTTAATTTATGGAGATTAATAAAAATTGTAAAAATTGATATAATGCTTTTAAATATATTTGAAATAAAAAACATTTATGGAATCTGAAAATTTCTCTTTAATGGTGAAAACAGATTTAACTATTTGCATCAATTACTTAACTGATTACAATATAGAGATTATGGTATGAAATTGGATATTCAGTATCTAATGAACTTCAGTATACTGCACACTCCCCCCCCACACTAGTTACTTTTTTCAAAACTGTAACTTTATAATTACTTAGGTTGTCCCAACAGTCTTTCCAAAAACATTTCGATTAGTTCTTTTTTTTACCTTGAGATCACGATACACAATCTTTCCAGAATGCAGATAGTCCAAAGCAGAAACAATTTCTGCACCATAGAAGCGTGTGCGATCCTCAGAGAACACTCGCTCTCTCGACAAATGGAAAAACAGCTGCAGGGTAAACAGCAGGGACAGGATTGCAATAATTACTGATTTAGTGGGGGAAATTAACACAAACATAAAACACCTCTCAACACCATATTGTGATGATAGATAGTGTACTCTCAGTGGACACTCAGCACTCTTAGACAGCAGCTGGCTTATCTTTTCCAGGTTTCCAAGGGAAAAAACGAGCTGTTAAATCAGCATTTTAATCAATATACCAATCTTGTTTAAGGCATTCTGTTTGCTACCCATTTAACCTTCAGTTATAAGAGGAAAAATGCCTCATCATCATTCTGTACTTTCTTATATATTCCATCTCCATTCCCATTTTTAAACCTTCTAGTAATGAAGGCACTGGAATTAATTATGCACATACAAGTGTATGGGTTTATATTACCATACAATTACTTTAAGTGAAGTTAAAGTAGTTTGAGCACTAATATAAAAATGCTGCTTAAATACCTAGAAACAGTCTATAATTTTAAAACACTGTCCTACCCCATATCATTAGGTATCACTTACTGAATTAACAAAAGATCAACCTATGTCCTGCAACAAAATGCAAAATACCTAAATAACGTAAGCTTTGGAGTTTCTTGAGACCTGCTATGCGATCTTCTATGGTGACACGGTTTTTGATCATGAGCTCATCATTCCATACCTTTATTTCTTTTGGATCTTCTTTTTTTGCTAATGCGTACTGCACATTTTATATTTATTTATTTATTTTATTTATATCCCGCCTATCTAGTCAGTTAGGACCACTCTAGGCGGCTTACAACAAGAATATTAAATGTAATTAAAAACAATTTTAAATAAGGGGAAAAGATGGGACAGACAATAGGGAAAAGGAAAAGAGAGGGGAAATCAGGAATTGGCTGAGGGGAAGGCCTGCCGAAACATCAGTGTTTTTAGTTGATTTTTAAAAACAACTAATATTGTAACACGTAAAAATATGATGTATTCCCTATTATCCACAGTAAAGTTTAACAGTATCCACTCGTTCATTTATGATTAAATTTGCATTGTCTTGTTATTTTACTTGAAAAACATGCCTGGGCATTTGCTCATGTGATTTTGATAAAAATATTATTACAGGAAGAATGAAAAACAGTATTTCTCAATTTCTTTGTGTTCTCAACCCTACATTCTGCTTTCACTAACATAATTGACATTATATTAACAGAATTACCTTTGCATAGCAGCACCTCCTATGTTTTGTCCTGTTCTATTCTGTTTTTGAGCAAAAAGAGTGATGTGTATGACACAAAGAATCAGACATTAAAAATGAAACTGCATCTTGCAATTCTCGTCCAGATGAAGTTGCATTTTCTGACGGCAATCTATGCAACTACGGGCTATTTACTATAAACAGGTCATTTTTAATTCAAATACCAAATTTTTATTTTAATAGAAACATTTGTGCCAAAAGTTGCAATAAAGCTATCTGATAGAACTGAGGAAAATACATAAGGAATGAGAAAACAACTGAAATGAATGAGAGTAATATTTTACTCTGCAATCATCAGCATACCGGTATTTTTGTAACTTGGTCACCAAGATGAAGGGAAGAGACCAAGTCTACAAATTGTCACAATCCCATTGTATTTGCATTTTTATGCTAGTGTACCTCCACTAGTGTAAATTTCAGTGGCAAATTGCTACAATACAAGTCAGCAAAGGCATTTGCCATCATATACTGAGTCATATGACTGGAGTGTGATAACAAATGCCTATGCTAACTGTTTAAATGTGGCAATCTGCCCCTGAAATTTATGCCCATGGAGTTACATCTGTAACCATTATTAACAGGATTCTGACCATTACATTTTAGCTCCACAGTGAAAAACAAACGAACAAAAAAATTCTCTTTAAAACAAACCTTAGTATAAAACACTGATCCAGGTTCTTCCCAGGCCATATTATTGGTTTATAATGTAATTTTGTTCTAAATTTGGCTCTCAAGAAAGACTGCTTAAGTAGGAAGTGGAATTCAGTACTACAATTATCTAGCATCCTGAGGAGTCCACATGGCTAAGGAAAATGAGTTAACAGATGACAGGTTCCCCCCCCAAAGGAAATTATGTTATAGTGGATTTCTTTAAAACTAAAGAATACTTGGGCACAGGCCAACTAAAGGTCTGTATTATCAATACTGGGATGGATCCAATAAGGTAATCTGGCTAACAATGTCTGTCAGCAGAACTGGAAAGGACCATTCTCTCTCCCATGCAGCTACCCCAAAACCTTCAAAGCTGCTCTGGAGGACAGCTTCTAAGCTGGAGGAAGGCTGGCTGACTGGCCAAGTCCTACTCAGCATATGCTAGTACAACACTGGATTTCGATCTTAATCTTTGGAAGCAGGAAACAGATCGGAACAATTACCACTTGGCATTCTTTATCTTACCTCTCCTCCATTGACATACTCCATCACAAAACAAAGGCGGTCCTTGGTCTGGAATGAATATTTCAAAGACTTGAAAAGAAGAAAAAAATGCAGTTATAGAACTGCTCATTCTTTTTTTTAAGGAAAAGAAAAACAACAAATCTTGAAAATCTATTCAAATTTTGTGCACTGCAATCCAATCTATGTAACTTCATACACAGGGCACATTCAGTTAAATGAGACTTTCTCAAGACAAATGTGTGCATGATTCTAGCTTAAAACACATAAAAATAATCTCATTTCAGAATAAAGAACATTCAGTCATAGAAAGCAATTCAAAGTTCATTCAATATGCAAATTTGAGTCAAGGCATATTTAATAAGTGAAGAGTATGATGCCACAAAAAATGTCTCAAATTTAATGAATTAGGACATTCATGTGTGAGTAGAGTTAAGAAAGCGAGTGGCGTCGAAACAGACGCGGGACAAAGATTACCTCCTGATACTGAGAAGACAGGGAAACATGGTGCCTCTTCGCTGCCCTAAGTGGAGGGGACTGTGAGGCCAATGCCTCCGAGTTTGAGAGATGGATGGCGGTTGCCCACCCGGTCAAAACAGGGCTAGAATGGGCCGAGGCAGGGCTGGATATGACATCAGCCTCAGAGTGGCCATGACTACAAGCTCGGTATCGATACCGAGGCTGGAGCCTGAAGACAGGGAAACATGGTGCCTCTTCACTGCCCTAAGTGGAGGGGACTGTGAGGCCAATGCCTCCGAGTTTGAGAGATGGATGGCGGTTGCCCACCCGGTCAAAACAGGGCTAGAATGGGCCGAGGCAGGGCTGGATATGACATCAGCCTCAGAGTGGCCATGACTACAAGCTCGGTATCGATACCGAGGCTGGAGCCTGAGTAAGCGGTACTGACTCTCCTGCTTTTGAAATGGAATCCTGGTCCGGTATATAGATGACTCCTCCAAGATGGGAGATGGGAGGGAAATCCGAATGACCGGAGGCTCTCAAGGGTGGTCAGGCTTAGGAATCCACTTAGCGTTCCTTTGCTTAGCTCTGTCTCTCTCCTTTTGCTTCTTATCAGGTCGGGCTGAAGCCGAGGACAACTTCGACACAAGGTCAATGTCAATGCCGAGGGGGATTTCGGCTTGGAAGCCTTGGTAGAGGCTTTCAGCGATGGAATAATTGGAGCCGGTGGGTGAGAAGGCTTAGACCGAGGCACTGGAGTGGAGGTATGCTCCATCGTGGGGCTGGTTAGATGGCTTGAGGGTGTTAAGGATTTTCCCCACAAATGGGACTGAAGTCGTTGCAGTCGGAGGTTAAGAGCCGGCTTTGTTAATTTTTTACACTCTGGACAGGAGTGGGTCTGGTGACTTTCACCCAGGCAGAACAAGCAACGATTGTGGCCATCAGTGAAAGGAATTTTATTGGCACACGTCGTACAACACTTGAATGAGCCTGAAGAGGCCTTTTAAAAGGGTGGGAAGGTGGGAAGGGGAGAGGAGACGAAAGAAAAATAACTCACAGGGAAACATCCATAAATGAAAAACTGATAAAGTCCGTAATCCAAGAATCGAAACCGTAAGCAGTCCAAAGATCAGAAAACTGTAGATAGAATCACAAATAGCTCTAAGAGTCGCAAAGAAGTCTGATTTCAGCGGTGGCTAAAAGGAACTGAGATATTACGGGTGGGCACGGAGCATGTGCACCACGGGGAAACATCCTACTAATCACGTCTTTTTAAGCTCTAGAATATTCCAAGGAGTCCTGCGCAGGTGCAGTAAAACCCATTTGTATGCATTCACAGAAGAAGATGTTCTGTTATGCAGGCAGAGCTACACAACATGATACTGACCCCTGAAATCTTACAGTTAAATAAACCTTGCAGTTAAAACTAACTGAATAACAGTTTCAAGAACAGCATCTACCCAATGAAGTAACCAGCAAAATTTAAAGGCTTGTTGAAATAGATGGACCAAGCACCTGCATAAATATCAGAAGAGAAGAGTTCTACTGCTTCTCTTCAGAAAAAGTGTTATATAATCTAAGGGTAACTACAGGAAAAAAGTATCCAATTTAGAGAATACAGCAGTGCCTTGAGTTGCAAAATTAATTTGTTCTGGGATGACGGTTGTAACTCACGTTGGTTGTACAGTGGTGCCTCACTTAGCGATGTTAATCAGTGCAGCAAAAATCGCTGCTAAGTGATTTCATCACTAAGCGATTTTTAAAAGCCCATAGAAACGCATTAAAACGCATTAAATGTGTTCCTATGGGCTTAAAAACTAACCTTATGCAAAAATCCTCCATTGCGGCAGCCATTTCTGGTGCCTCTAAAGCGAGGCAAAACAGCGGGAGGCCATTTTTTTTACCCGGCGGCCATTTTGGAACTGCCGATCAGCTGGCCGAAAATGGGGGCTTTGCGATGATCGCTTCCCTTCGATCATTGCAAAGCGAAATTTCCCCATAGGGGCCATCACAAAGCGATTGCTCTTGCAATGGCAAAAAGTCCATCGCAAAGCGATTTCATCGCTATACGGAGCGATCGCTATGCGAGGCACCACTGTAACTCAAAGCACCATTTCCCATAGGAATACACTGAAACGAGATTAATCTGTTCCTGCCATTTTTAAAGGTTAAAAAAGGGCAGGAAAGGAGGGAGGGAGGGAACAATGGGGGAAAGAGGAAAGAAAGAAGGTCATCACCAGGGTACACAAGCCCCTCAGACAAATGTTTGTGCTTTTAGGCACAAAAAGAGAGAGTAGAAAAAGAGAAGACAATGGTGGAGGGACCTCTTAGGTTAAAAAAGGGCAGGAAAGGAGGGAGGGAACTATGGGGAAAAGAGGCCTTTTTTCTGGTTGCACCTCAAAGCGCGAGTTGCAAGTCAAAGCGATATGTTGCGATCAGAGCTGGTTGTAACTCAAATTGGTTGCAAGTCAAGACAGTTGTAAGTCAAGGCACCACTGTAAAAGCAATTATGAAGGCTTTTCCTTTCTCTAGCTAGCAGGTGCCCTGTCACATCATTGACCATGCAACTAGTTGTGCAACCAATCTTGTAAGCAATGAACATGCCAAGGAAAGCTTGCCAGAACAGTGGAACACATATGCAATTGCTCTTCTGCAACTACAAAATGCAACAGGACACTGGCCCTTTAGTAACATACATTTTTTTTCAGGAAAAAACTACAAACTAGATAGTTCTGTATTGCAAACTCATAAACTCCCTATGGGCTGTAGTAAGTAAAGTATTCACATTATGAACAAAATATTGAATTTAAAACACAAGTAAATAAAAAGAACATTAATTTTTTGCTTTAATGTTTCAAGAATTTTTGACAATTTAAAATATGTTTCATAGTACAGTGGTGCCTCGCGTAACGAGCGCACCGTATAATGACGGAATCGCACAGCGATTAGGTTTTTGCGATCGCAAATGCGATCGCATACCGATGACCCCTATGGGCAAAAATCGCTTTGCGAAGATCGGTAAGCGTTTCGCTTACCGATCTTCGCAAAGCGATGCTGCGGATCAGCTGTTCGGTGGCTCCAAAATGGCCACTGGAAGCCCCGAAATGGCCGCGCGCAGCGTTTTCGCGCCCTCCCCTTGCTTACCGAGGGCGCGAAAATGGCTGCCGGCTATGGAACAGCTTCGCTGAACGGTGAGTTTTGGAGCCTATTGGAACGCACTAAACTAAGTTTAATGTGTTCCAATGGCTTTCCCCGTTTCGTACAGCAATGTTTCGCCATAGCGACGGTTAATCCGGAACGGATGAACTTCGCTATGTGAGGCACCACTGTATACAGTTCTTGTGCTTAGAGCAGTACTGTTCTCCTGAGAGAACAATATTCATCATCGCATATACAGTGGTGCCTCGTTTAGCGATGTTAATTCGTTCTGAAAAATCGCTGCTAAGCAATAACATCGCTAAGCGAAATAAAAAGCCTATAGAAACGCATTAAAACGTGATTAATGCATTCCTATGGGCTTAAAACTCAGCGAAAATCCTCCATAGCACCACCATTTTCGGTGCCTCTAAAGCGAGGAATCCGTGCCTGAAAACAGCAGGTGGCCATTTTGTTTACCGGCGATCATTTTGGAACCGCCGATCAGCTGGCCGAAAATGGAGGCTTTGCGATGATCGCTTCCCTGAGATCATCGCAAAGCAAAAATAGCCCATAGGGACCATCGCAAAGCGATCGCTTTTGCGATCGCAAAAACATCGTCACAAAGCGATTTCGTCGCTAAACGGAGTGATCCCTATGCGAGGCACCTCTGTATCAAGGACTAAACGAGAACCCCACTACTTCTTTTATCTCCTTTTTAAATAAACTTGTCACAGTTTACAAAGTTGATAAGATTTGATGTCGTCCATCTGTTTAGCATAGCACCATCATATGGATAATAACACTAGTAATTAGCAAATCTTCAAATTATACTTCTCATGCAAATTCTCAGCACCAAAGATATTTATTTATTTATTTATGTATTTATGTATTTATGTATGTATGTATTTATTTATTTATTTATTTATTTATTTATTGCATTTATGCCCTGCCCATCTAGTCAATCAACTACTCTGGGCGGATATTGGTAATGGTTGGATTTACCAGAGGTTCTAATATCAACAAGTTCTAGATTGCTTATTATTTACATTTATCAGAATCTTCTGTGACTGTGCACGGTTTACACAGAGCGACTCAAACAATAGTTGATATTAACTGCTACTTATCAAGATATTTCACTCTCAATACAACAAACAATGTTATCAGGTAAAAGCGTGATCAGATGTCACTTTACCTTGCGTTTGGATCACTTTTGATGTGATCAAGTTCAATCTATTTTCTGGTAGCTACACAATGTACATGCAATTTTTAGATCAGAGGTCATCAATGCCCGGTCTGCGGCCCATTGCCGGTCTGTGGCTTGAGCCCGACCGGGCCATGAAGGCAGACCTCCCGACTCCCCCACACTCCCCCCCACAGCTGCTTTGCGCATGTGATGTGATCCAATCTATTTTCTGGTAGCTACACAATGTACATGCAATTTTTAGATCAGAGGTCATCAATGCCCGGTCTGCGGCCCATTGCCGGTCTGTGGCTTGAGCCCGACCGGGCCAGGCCAACAGACCTCCCCCCCCGCACACACTCCCCTCCCCACAGCTGCTTTGCGCGTGTGTCAGCGCCATGTGAGCACTTCCTCACCCCTTCATGCAAGCCCCCGCACAACGGCAACAAGGGTGAGGGGATGGCTGGAGAACTGCCAGGAGGGAGAGCAAGGCCCGGGTGTTCTGCCTGCTCTCCTTGCGGCAACAGCAGTGGCAACGGGAGTGAGGGGGTGGCTGGAGAACTTCCGGGAGGGAGAGCAAGGCCCGCGTGCATCAGGGAAGGCAAGCGTGAAGGGCCGCCCCACCTCCATCAGAGACTCCGCTGGTCCGGACTAGTAAAAAGGTTGGGGAACTGTTTAAGATAATGCATTTTCCACCTTTGAGCACCAAGAACTGCACTGATTTTAATGGAAATTCTCCTGACATCCTGATAGCATTCCCTTTATCTTGCTTTGTATCATTTTCCCCATAGATTCCTAGACTTCGTTCTCCCCTCTCTCCCAACTTTTGATTTACTTTTTAATATAATTTGAATGAGGGACAGAAGCTTAGTACTGTACATAGTGACACTAATATTTTACAGATTCTAATGAAAAGCAAGGAGCTGTTTTGGAATCCAGAAACTGCACCCACATATGCTGAGTTGGCAGCTATCAATAATAATAATAATAATAATAATAATAATAATAATAATAATAATAATAATAATAATAATAATAATAATAATAATAATAATAATAATAATAATAATAATAATATGAATAGTACCTTAGGGTCATTAGCACTAATGCATCCATCCACAGACCTTCCCCACATAACCCTGAGCCACAAGAAAGGCTCTTAATTTATTCTTTTGCTGGAAACTGTTCCCCTACAAATAAAGTTAAAAGAGAGGGCAGGCAGTGGCAGTAATGATACCTGTACCATCTGAGCTGGCCAGCAACTACTTTCCACCACAGAGCATGACAGAAAGTGCCAATAGTCAGCCAGCTCTCAACCTCACTGGAGAACAAGTTCTAGGTACAGTTCCAAGAGGGCAAAATTACAATGCATTTTCCTGTCTTTCCTCTTCATAAGAAACTCTGAAACATTATTCCTGGGGTTCTATATAGAAGCAAGATGCTAACTATGTGATTCTCAAGAGACCACAGAGAAGAATCTATGTTTACATGAGCCTGCAAAAGATCTTATGCCAAAAAAGGATTTCTGATCTCGCATCATTGTTGAACTATTTTAAGTGCTGTAGTTCACGCAGTGTGTGCATTTAAACATCAATATGTTGGTGATTCGATAGATTAGGTTAATATAAAATCATGAATTTTTAATTTTTAAAAATATGTTTTCAGAGATTATTTTTATATATTTATTTTACATAACTTTGGGCATCCTGGTAGATGGAAAAGTAATAAACAATTTTAAATATATACTTTGTGTCTGTGTGTGTGGAATGCAATGCTGGCAACACATTCCATAATATGGTGGCCACTATTGAGAAGGCTGAGTTTGTAGTCATAGATTTCCAGGTCTCATTGCCTCAGGGGGGCAGCCTGCATCTTCATCACTTGAACAGAAGGGTGGAACCAGCAGACAATCTCAGGGGCAGGTGTTGTGACAAGTAACAAGGTCTCAAACCATTAAGGTTTACCATGTTAAATGTTGAATAGTGGAATTCAACGCCAAATAAGAGCCACGACACAGTACTAATTCCACACAATTTACTGAAGACACAGAACACGCGCGCGCACACGCACACGCACACACAAACATGTATAAAACCCCCGACTCTCATTTAGAGGTTTCCATCCCTCGCTAATTACTCAGCGTCTATGCTAACTGGGGGGAGGGAAAGTTATCCACAACAGGTGGTATCCCATCCACCAGGCTGCTGGTGGAAGGGACAACAGTGAAGTTGATCTTAGGACACAACATTAACATTCATATCTTGAATTTGGAACAGAAGCATACAGGCAATCAGTGGAGATGGACCTGGACCAGTGAGATATGATCATATCTCGATATTGTAAAGAGATTCTCATGTACATATTTTCATTACTTCATATGTACATTTCACTGCATTTAACAGGACGTGTTCCTAAATAAGAGTGTACAGGACTGGAAATTTAATTGCTTATATTAATTGCTTATACTTACTGTTAAAAAGGGGTGTCTAGTATTTTTCAGAACTCTGCTTTCTGTAAGTGTGTGAGCCACTTCGTCCTAAAAAAAAGGCAGTATTCAATAATGAATTTTATAAGAAACTAGATAATTTCAAAAACACTATAAAGAAGTTCCAAAAACATTTTTGAATCAATGCTTTTAACAGAGTAGAAGGAGGACAGGCAAGAGAAACAAGAAAATAAATCTTGTATCATTGTTCATTCATATAATAGCTTTTACTTTATTCTAAAGTTCTGTAGTAGTGGGGCAACTTTTTAAAATATTAAACCTGATCAAAATCTGCTGCATAATACAATTGGTGGAAGCCTTGGCAATAAAGTTTTGCAACTTAAAAAGTCAGCATATGCATTTCTTATGAGTTGAGTCATACAATTTGGCCACAGCAGCAAATGCCTACACTAACTTCTTAGCTTACAGGAATTTGTTGCCAAGTCTGACAGTAGACTCATGCCAGCAGTGGCAATTTAGGTAATTAAAAGATGTTAAAAGTGTGGACCATTCAAATAGTTTTTAGCACCATTTGGTGGAAACATGCAATACAAGATTAACAAACAAATAAAATAAATTGGATGTGGAATACCAACATTTTATCTGTTGTCAATCTCCCTCTACATATGCCATGGCATTGATCAGAACTGATGTCTCAAACAAGACTACAGATTGTAAGACCGGACTACAGCTCTGTAAAAGAAAAGATGATTTCCATGCAGAATGACCCACATTCCATCTTGTTATCTCCAGTTAAATGCAACTGGGGCATGGTGTAGTGAACAAACTCTGTTCTGAAAAGCTGTTGCCAGTCAGAGTAGTTATATGCATATGAAGTATGACCTGGGTATATACTGTATCTGATGTAAGGCAGCTTCCTAGCACTGGGATTGAACACCAATAATAGTATGTCTCTGGTTAGCATTGGATCTTTTAAGACTTTTCCTAAAATTTATTTTGAATATGTCTTCATATAATAGGGTTGTGGGCAGAAAGAAGTGGACTTCTAGAAAGAAAAATCCCAGTACCCTTAATCTATTTAGTTGGAATACTCTGGAAAAGTAATAGAGAAAAGTAATACAGTACTAATATTCTAGTTTGCTTTAGAACACTCGTTTGTTTTAGAAGAATGTCTGTGTTGTTTGTATGTGTATGCATGAGTGCATAAATTCTACAGCTTTAGGTTGCACTATTGCTTCATATGAAGATCCCTGCAGACAGCTTGTGATCAGCACCATGAGTAAGGGGCAGATGTTATACTGACTCCCAAAATTCAGATTAAAATTGTGGTTTCCTTATTGCTAAGAGAAGTGGGAAACAACCACCTTGTTTCGAACAGGAGGAGTGATGGGATGGGGTGATGGACAGAACACAAAGAAAGTCTACGAAGGATAAGAGACTTAAACATACACCTGGGTTATCCTGGGAGAGAGGGGTGGATGAGTCTTGTCTCTACCAGCCCCACTCATCTATACAACTATCAAAGAATGTGTATAAATGAAGCGCAGCCTCATTCCACCAAAATACTGTCCTTGAATGCACTACATTATTAGCAACATTTAAGTAATGTTACCACAGTCTCAGAAGACAAAGAACTTCCAGGCTTTGACTTACAGATATATATTCACCACCAAGTATGATTCACAGGTGTGAAGAAAAGCTGTTTTCACTCATGGGATATTTACAAATAAATTATATTAACATATAAGCATACCTTTGCAATTATAACTTCCTTTTTCAAAATCTTCATAGCATAATATTTTCCACTTGCCTTCTCGCGGACCAGTATAACTTTGCCAAAAGTGCCTTTGCCAAGTAGTTTCAAGTAATCAAAATCATTCATTGTCTGTTTGGAGCAGAAAAGTAGGAATTAATAGGCTTTATATTTTACAGAATATGTATTAAATTGAATGTTCCTGTCCTGGCACGTAAACACTATGATTATGAAGTATTATCTTAAATAAATAA